AGAAGGTCACCCATGCTAAAAACCTTCAGGCTATTGGGGTCGAGGTGGAACCAGTCTTTCTGCAAATTTAGATATCCCCCACCAAAAGGTACTCAAATATAAAGCATTTCTTTCTTCCACGGCCTCTTTCCTCTTTCGACCCGTCATAGTGTTTTTCTTTGATGTTTAATGTCATTCTAAGAAAAACAGTTATCTGGGTCAGTAAATACAGGAATGGGATGGGGGAGTTATCTTAAAGAAGAGACTAATACTCTTGCATCTCTGCAATGCATTGTAGCCACAACTGCATCATGGTAAACGTCTTCCATCTGCACAGCATGGGTCTTTCAGTCAAAATCTTTTTAGCATCTAAACCAGTGGGTCTCAACTGAGATGATTTGGTACACCCTCTCCCCCAGTGACATCTGGCAATGACTGGAAACACTGGTGGTCACAACTGGGAGGGTGCTACTGGCATCTAGTGGGTAGAGGCCAGGATGCTGTTAAACATCTTATAGTGCACAGAACAGCCCCCAACAACAGAGGATGATCCAGCCCCAACGTCAATAGTCCTGAGGCTGAGGGACCTTGCTCCAAATTGAAGGAGTGGTGAAACTCAGTTATCTCCTACAACTGACTGCCTGAGTTCAAGAACACTGAAAGAGTTAACACTAGCAAGGTACAAACTTGAAAGCACTTACACATATCATGCAGTATTTAAAAACACAATTTCTTCTATTTTCCTTAAAAAAAAAAAGTCAAAATCACAACCTGCCTCCTCCCCCCTTGACACTGGCCTGCAGCAATGTTAACATCCAAACACCAAGGCAATATGGATTCATTTCAAGGCTGCTGCCCTCTGCAGAAAAGGAGGCCAGGAGCTGGGCAAACTTTTAGAAAAAACAAAAAGCTCAGAGAGATAAATGAATGTTCTATCACTGGAGAAGCTTGGCAAGAAACTTGTGTCTGAGGGAGGGCTGGAGTGAGGGAGTTGATATGAAAAGAAATAGATACTGAGGGAGATGGGCTAAAACTGCTCAACAAAAAGGAAATACCAACAAAGAAACAGGCGAGATTTAAAATAATACCAGTCTGTGCCCAGAAGGGCGAGATCCAGGTGAAGCACTCATGGCTCCAGGGAAAACACTAGAGGCCAACATGTGAGCACACTCAGGAGACAGGGATGGCTAGCAGCAAGGGCTGACAGCCCCCAGCCCAAGCAGGGAGACTTCTGTGAAATGGCCCCGAGGGACCAGCCCAGCTTCCAGGCTCCCACCCAATCTCAACCACCCCACAAAGGGAGGCAATGGCTGCCCTCCACGAGACCACATTCCTGTTCTCTGAGCCTTTGCCCATGCTGTTCCTTCTGCCTGGAAAGCCCCCTACCCTCTCCCCTCCAGCCCCTGTGCCTGGCTCAGGCCTCCACCCTTGAGGCCATCCTGGAAGATGTCCCCGATTTTCCTGCCATTTTGGCACTGCTGTCCTTCATGTTAACCACCCACACACCAGTCCATGTGCCTGCTGAATGTTTGGACGGAGTTCCCCTGAGGGCAGAGACTGTGGCTTTTCACCAACATCTCTCTGGAGAGCTTTCTGCAATGGCGGTGCAGAACCAATGGTGGTACTGAGAACATGTGCAGAATGAACGCTTCTATTTTTATACAATGACAATTAGGTTCTCCCCCACCTTGCTGCCATGGTCGTGTGTTTCTGCAATAGCAGATGTCCACTGCATCAGTCAACATATTCTCTATCAAACCTCACTACTCCACAATATATGTGAAACTGATTTGACAATTTTCATCTGCAAACACTATAACCCTAAAACTCAAGCTGATATCTTAACATGTAATTGACAGTTTCTTAAAAGGCAAGCATTATATGGACATTTTAACAACAGAATACAATCATTCTTATCACCAATGCCTACACACGCACACACCCGCGCACGCACACGGACTCTTCCTCATCTAGCATATATTAGTCTGCACATTGCGGCTGATGTAGTCTAACTCTTTATAAAGCCACATTTCCCCAGCATGTTAAACAAAGCATGCAAGTCAATTTGAAGATACAGCCTTTCGAGTGGATCCCTTTAATTTGCTGGCTGTATTAAAAAGATAACATTAACATGACTTTGGCAGATAGGAGGATATGCAGAATAAGACAATGTGCATACACACACACGCTCCTGTGATTTTAAATCACAAGAGAAAGAGGTTCTTCCAAACTATCCCTCAGCATCCCTCTCCCCTTAAAATCTCATACTTTACTCTCTTCTGTTGTTTTCTAACTAGGGCAATATGCTACCTCTATCCATTTTGTTTATTTGTGTAGCAAGCACTCTGTTCTCGCCCAGTTCATATAAAAATTCATGTCCAGAACTTTCAGAACGACGTACCTCTTAACAAAGCACCATCTAACAGATTTCTTTACTGATCGCCATGAGGAATTTATCTATGAGACAGATGCACAAAATGAACTTAAATTTGGAGCTGCTACTCAATTCAATTCACGGACGTCTACTGAGGTCTAGGACAGCAGATTTCTCACTTCTGAATGCAAATGCTCACACTACTTACTGCTGACGTGAACACTCAGCTCACTGTGTCACAAACAAGATCTCCACACAGTTACTTCTGCTTTCAAATGAAATTAAATCTATATGGCTAGTGCGTATTGTCACCTATCTAGTTGGGTTTATCTGCATTTACGAAACTGTCGCTTCTTCTTTAGGGGGAGAGAGAATCTAGCACAGAATGAATGAATGAATGAATGAATGAATGAATGAGAGATCAAGGACAGGGCAACAGGAGAACAAGTGACTTATGTCATCAGTAGGCAAAACAGACCTGGAGACACACAGCAACCCATAGTTTCCCATCTGTAAAATGGGACAATCCTCATCATAAAGACATTACATCCACTATCATGTTATAAAAACAAAATAAAGTAATAATAGACAGCTATTTTATTGAGTTGTAAGGCATGTGATAATATATAACAAATGCCTGGTACATGGCAGTTGCTCAACAAGTGATAGTATTAGTAATGAGTAAATAACATTTGGCCCAAGAACCAATGAGCCATGCTGGAACTGCCAAAAGTAAGCAAAGTGAGCGTGCCCCTCAGACGTGTCCTCATCCAGTCCACTGAAAAAGAAAACCTCTACTCCCTCTCACTACACAACTGGCAGCTCCCATAAAACTGCTAGGAAGCACACTGCATCTCCTTCCGGGACTTGAAATGGGTCGTGTTATGCAGAAAGCAAGTTATTTCCAGAAATATGCAATGTTAAGAAAATAAATCACATTCTCTCTCCTTCGACGTGTTAAAGGTCCACTGAAAACTTGCTAAGAACACAAAATCGCGTTTTGTCATCCTCATCAGATGGCAACAAATACAGGTTGGATCAAGTGGTGGAAAGTGGTGGATGAGACGGCCCTCCCTGTTCTCAGGCCCTCTTCTGTCCCAGAATCTATGGCAGTGCCCCTACAGTCTAGCCAATCACATCACTTCCAAACTCCTCAGCTGGGGCCCCTGCTGGTGTGTCATGCCCCTGCCTAAAATGCCCTCCTTCCCCCACCGTCTCCAATTCTCTCCCCCCACCCCTAGTCTGCCTCACCACTTCCATGGAAGCTCCCCTACCACCCTCTTGTAACTTTCACAGCCCATTTCAACTGTGAACCCAAATGTAGTCCAAATGCATCGAATCCCAACAGTTTTAAATTGTGCAGTGTCGCACACACTTGAGTCTCTTACGGTGCTTAACACAGTGCTAGGGATATCATAGGTGCTCAGGAAACTTGTTGCTAGGAGCATAATAGCTGCTCGATAAAACCCTTCTTTTATCTATCAGCGATACTGAATCGCTGAACTGAGGTAAATTACTCCATGGATTCAATCCAAAGAACGCTTTTGTATTAATTACCAAACTACTTAAGGCAGGAATGTTTTGTCTTAATTATGTAGACTATTATTTTAATTGTCACTTCTCAATTAAATACTCCAACTCCACCACAGGCTTGCAAAACTCCGCAAGCTGAATCTTCACAAACAAGGAGAGATTAAGGAAATATTCTCCAGGGTTCGTCTCCAACAGCATCCTGAAAGGGATCATTGAAGCGATGAGGCGCAGAAGTCCGCAGCTTCCACAGGCTGTCCGGAGGAACGCTCCAGCATTTTGGTTTGAAATATCTACAGAGTCACCTCAGCTCTCCCCTACCACCCTCTTGTAAGATAAGGGATGCCCCAAGTGGTGTTTAGGGTTAAAATGATTCCAAATAGCAGGATTTGGAATTTGCCAAAAAGATAAATAAGAAACAACCAGCAGGGTAAAAAATGGAAGCCTGTGTCACCAAAATAATGTAAAAATGTTTGCCCTCGAAAAAATACACATCTATTTTAAATCTGCAACTGCTTTGCTAAGGTCCCAAGAACTCTAAAACTGAGGACCGTGGAAAAAAGACTGGCAGAACCCCTCCAAGAGGTCCCTTCAACCCCGCGTTCTTAAAACATTTCTTTCCTTCGCCTGCAGAATGCAGCCTTCTCCCAGAATAATTCCATGTAAAAAGCCCCCACCCGCGAGGAAACATTAATCTACTTTGCAAACATGCGTTCCAGTCTGTGCCTTACTATTTTTTTTCCACTCCTTCCACCCCCACCCCGCTTTTTTTGTACCTTGAGACAAATGGTTTTTTCCCTCAGAGTTGAAAGCGGTCCAAAAACAGGACCACACACGCCGCCGCCTCCGCAGGCCCGCGCTGCGCCCGCCCCCGGCCCTCCCCAGCGCGCCGGCCGCGGCCGCCGGGGGCGCGCACACTCCAGCCAGCCGGAGGGGTGGCCTCTGGCTCCCCCCGACTCCTTTCTCTTTGGACGCGGTGGGTGGGGGTGGGGAGGAGAAGGAAGCCGGGCCGGGGAGCCCGGCCGGGAGAGGCCAGCCCCGGGGCGCGTCTCGGGGCGCGGCCCAGGCGGGCGGCGGCGGCGGCGGCGGGCCCGGGAGCCCCCGGCGCGCGGAGTGGTCCGTCCCGGAGGGGCCCCGCGCCCCCGGCCCGCCCCCGCCGCTCTCTCCCACCACACCTCGGCCGGCGCAGCGCCCCGAGTAGATTACAGCGCGGCCTTTGTCGGGCGGGCCTGGCTCCCGGCCAGGCGCCCAAACAATAAACAATCCCCCGGGTGCGGGCAGGGGGTTTCGCCGGCCGCAGCCGGGCTCTAGGTGTGCGCTGGCGAATATCTCTATCAACCGCGAGGAGGGACCGGGCCGGGGGCGCGGGCGCCGCGGCGGGCGCTCTTACCTTCCACCCACAGCTCCTCCACGTTGGTCTCGAGGTTCGCTGCCTTTAATCCCACCGCGAAGGCCCCAAATATGAGGAGGCCCACAACCAAGAACTTGCCGCAGTTTTTTTGAATGTAACAACCCAGTTTAAATAAGAGTCTCTGAAACTTCGCTCTCAGCCACAGCGGCGCTTTCCGGCCAGTAGCCTTCCCCTGGGGACGAAGCAGAAGGGAGGAGTGAGCGCCGGGGAGTCGCGGCCCGCGCGCCCACGCCCGCTCGCGCGCACCCGCCCGGTGAGCCCCCAGCAGCCGTGGGGGCGCAGGTGGCCGCGGCACACGGACTCGCCCTCGAGGCTGCAGTCCCGGCGGACCTGAGCGTCATGGGGGGGGGGGGGGGGCTCGGTCATAAATCAAAGCCGGGCCGCAGCGTGGGAGCTGCACCTCGGGGACATCAGGGCGCCCCCACCCGCGGGATCCCTGAGTACCACTTGGGGCACTGGGGCTGCAATACAGGAGAAGAGGAAGCCGAGGTAGAGAGGAGAGAAACCACTAGACACAGGCAATAGTCACCCCAGACCTGAGAAGGGAGGGGCTGCGTAATCCCAGCGATGGAACCCAAGGTTCAGGAGCCAGCAAACCAGTCCTGTTCGTCCATCACCCTCGGGGACGGGCGCTAGGGGCGAGCGCGCTTGGGAACAACATATTGCGGGTTCCCCCAACTGGACCCCCGCCTAGAGTGGTAGTAAGTGGGGATCCACGTGGTGAGCGCGGCCGCCGGAGTTCACTCCGACGCTTTTCCATAGCGTTGGAAGAGGCTGTGTGAGCTGAATTAGGAAGTGGGGCAGCCATCTGCAACTTACGACAATATTTGTGATCGGAAGAGGGCGGCCACATGGATCCTTCCCTCCTCTCCCTTCCTTTCTGGTTAAACGTAAAAAACAGCCGAGTGCACAGGGAAGGGCCCAGGCCGGCGCAGGCTGCTCCCCGGCGCGGCGTTTCCCCGGCGCTGGCCGCGGCCCCGGCGGGCCCCCGTCTGGGTGCTCGCCTTCCCCGGATTCCACACATTTCAGCGAGCCTCGTAAACACAATGAACCCGGCCGCTCCGCAGACTCGCACCGCGAATTTAAGGTGGCAATTTGTTTACAACTTTCCCTCCCCCTACCAGGCCCTGAGGAGAGGCGGCTCAAAACCTGGAAAACACGGGGAATGTCTTTTTCCGAGAATAATTTTTTAAGGGAGCAGAGATTTCATGCTCAACAAAAGCAAAACCGGCTGCCAAAAAAGGAAACCACCTTTATTTCGGCTCCCTCCCCCCTTCCTCTCTCCGCCTCTCTCCACTCCGCCTCCCCCTCCAAGATGTTAATGTTTATTAAAATGATCCAAATAGCAGGATTCTAACCTACAAAAAGATAAATAAGAAACAACCAGCAGGGTAAAAAATGAAGCCTGTGTCACCAAAATAATGTAAAAAATGTTTGCCTCGAAAAATACACATCTATTTTAAATCTGCAACTGCTTTGCTAAGGTCCTAAGAACTCACTTAAATGGAGGACCGTGGAAAAGACTGGCAGAACTCCTCCAAGAGGTCCTTTCAACTCCCATGTTCTAAACATTTCTTTCTGCCTGCAGAATGCAGCCTTCTCCTGTGAACAATTCCATGTAAAAAGCCCCACCCGCGAGGAAACATTAATCTACTTTGCAAACATGCGTTCCAGTCTGTGCCTTTACTATTTTTTCCACTCCTCTTCCACCCCACCCCGCTTTTTTGTACCTTGAGACAAATGGTTTTTTCTCAGAGCTGAAAAAGCGGTCCAAAAACAGGACTACAATGCCGCTGCCTCCGCGGCGCTCAAGTGCGCTGCGCCTGGCCCCCCGGCCCTCTCAGCGCGCCGGCCGCGGCCGGCCGGGGCGCGCACACCCAGCCAGCCGAGGTGGCTCTGGCCCCCGACTCCTTCTTTGGACGCGGTGGGTGGGGGTGGGGAGGAGAAGGAAGCCGGGCCGGAGCCGGGCCTGGGCAGAGGCCAGCCCCGGGGCGCGTCTCGGCGGCCTGGCGGGCGGCGGCGGCGGCGGCGGGCCCGGGGAGCCTCGGCGCGCGGAGGAACTGTCCCGGAGGGGTTCTCATGCCCCGGCCTGCCCCCGCTGCCTTCTCCCACCACACCCTCGGCCGGCGCAGCGCCCTGAGTAGATTACAGCGCGGCCTTTGTCGGGCGGCTCCGGCTCCCGGCCAGGCGCCCAAACAATAAACAACTCCCGGGTGCGGCAGGCCTGGCCACGCAGCCGGGCTCTAGGTGCGCTGGCGAATATCTCTATCAACCGCGAGGAGGGACCGGGCCGGGGCGCGGCGCCGCGGCGGGCGCTCTTACCTTCCACCCACAGCTCCTCCATAATGCTGGTCTCGAGGTTCGCCGCCTTTAATCCCACCGCGAAGGCCCCAAAATATGAGGAGGCCCACAACCAAGAACTTGCCGCAGTTTTTTTGAATGTAACAACCCAGCTTAAATAAGAGTCTCTGAAACTTCGCCTCAGCCACAGCGGCGCTTTCCGGCCAGTAGCCTCTGGGGACGAAGCAGAAGGGAGTAGGAGTGAGCCGGGGAGTTATCGCGGCCCGCGCGCCCACGCCTGGCCGCGCGCACCTGCCCGGTGAGCCCCAGCAGCCGTGGGGGCGCAGTGGCCGCGGTAATACTGGACTCGCCTCGAGGCTGCAGTCCCGGCGGACCTGAGCGCTCATGGGGGGCGGGCTCGGTCATAAATCAGCTGGGCTGCAGCAGGGGAGCTGCACCTCGGGGACATCAGGGCGCCCCCACCCGCGGGATCCTGAGTACCACTTGGGCACCGCTGCAACATAGAAGAGGCTGGTGTAGAGAGGAGAGAAACCACTAGACACAGGCAATAGTCACCCCAGACCTGAGAAGGAGTGGGCCATGTAATCCCAGCGATGGAACCTCAAGGTTCAGAGCCAGCAACCAGTCCTGTTCGTCCATCACCCTCGGGGACGGGCAGCCAGGGGCGAGCGCGCTTGGGAACAACATATTGCGGGGTTCCCCCAACTGGACCCCCGCCTAGAGGGTAGTAAGTGGGGATCTACGTGGTGAGCGCGGCTGCCGGAGTTCACCTGACGCTTTTCCATAGCGTTGGAAGAGGCTGCGTGAGCTGAATTAGGGAAGTGGGGCAGCCATCTGCACTTACGACAATATTTCAGATCAAAGAGGCACACATGGATCCTTCCTCCTCTTTCCTTCCTTTCTGGTTAACGCAAAACAGCCGAGGCACAGGGGAAGGGTTTCAGGCCGGCGCAGGCTGCTCCCCGGCGCGGCGTTTCGGCGTTGGCTGCGCGCTCCCCGGCGGGCCCCCTGTCTGGGTGCTCGCCTTCCCCGGATTCCACATTTCAGCGAGCCTCGTAAACACAATGAACTCCGGCTGCTCCGCAGATTCTGCACCGCGAATTTAAGGTGGCAATTTGTTTGCTAATCTCTCCCTACCAGGCCCTGAGGAGGGGCGGCTCAAAACCTGGAAAACACGGGGAATGTCTTTCTGAGAATAATTTTTTAAGGAGCAGAGATTTCATGCTCAACAAAGCAAAACCGGCTGCCAAAAAAGGGAAATCACTTTATTTCTGGCTCCCCTCCTTCCTCTCTCCGCCTCTCCACTCCGCCTCCTCCAAGATGTTAAGAAATGTGGCAGCATTACAGGGTTTAGGCTGCAAGGCTAGGAGCAGGGGCGCAGGAGGAGGGAGCCCATGGGCAGTACGGGCAGGGCAGTACCACGGCTGCCTTGAGGTGGTCCGCCGTGGACGGCTTTCCAGTGTTTCGGAAAAGGCACGCCGAGGGCGTGGTGTACACACACACACACACACACAAGACACACCTCCACCCCCTGCGGACCTGAGAGACAGCCCCTTTCCTCCAAGGACTAGAGGGAGGTTTGAATTTTTCAATCCCCACTCTGTTCGCTGCTTTTCCTGGAGAGGTGAGTGTGTGCAGAGAGAGAGGAGAGTGTGTTTGTGTGTGTGTGTGTGTGTGTGGCGGGGGCGATCCCAAAGAGTTAGAGGAGGGAAGAGAAAGTGGGAGGAGAGGAGAGAGTCTGAAATGCACCTTGGAAATCTGCTCCAGAGCGAAGGCGGCGTCGCAGTAGCTGGGCCGGTGCAGATAGTCCCGGTCCGGCGCGGCAGCACGGCGCAGCACCCCCGTCCGTCTGCGCCTCCCACCTCCAGCCGGCCGGCCCGGGGCACCGATGCAGCCGCTGCCGCCGCCGCCGCCGCCGCGGTCCTGGGGCTCGGCGACGTTACCAGCCGAGGCCATGTTGCCGCCGCCGCCGCCGCCGCCGCCGCGGGGACGGAGGCTTCCCGGGCGGCCCGGCGGGCTGCTGCCGCTGCTGCGGGCTCCTGGCGCGCCTGGGCGCTCGGCTCGCGAGGACGCTGCTGGCCGCAGGCTGCTCGGGCTCGGGCTCCGGTTGACAGACCAGCCGCTGCTGCTGCTCACACGGCGGGCGCTGCTGCCGCTGCGGCCGCGGCCGCTGCCGGGGAGTCAGACCCTGCGCCTTCCATTGCCACATTGCGCGGGGGTCCCGAGGTCTCTGCGGCCGCCGCTGCCCACATCCAGTTCGCGGGAGGGCGAGAGCCGGCGCGCCGAGCGAGCCTGTCCTTCGGGCGCTTCCGCGGCACTCCTTGCGGTCCCCAACACCCCCTACCCGCCCCCCGCCCCGCGCCGCGACCCCTTCACTGCAGAAAGAGCCAGCGAATCCCCGTCGCTCCCGCCGGCCGCGCTGGCTCCCTCGGCGCCTCCCGGGTCGCCCGAGCGGCCGCGGAGGGCAAGCGCAGAGCCGCTGCCGCCGCGGGGTCCGAGGGTGCCCGGCGGGTCTCAGCGCTGCCGGGCCGGGGCAGCCGCCGCTGCCGCTGCTCCCGCGGTGGCTGCTGCTGGCGGTGGCGGATCCAGGAGCTGCTGCTCGGGCTGCTCGGGCTCTGGCTGCTGGGTTCGCGGTGGCTGCTCGGTCCCGGACTCTGCTTTCTTGTGCTCCTCGGCAACCCGCTGGACCATTCTGTCCCCGTGCAGCGCGCCTCTCTCGCTCCCGGGACCTGGGGACTCCGCTCTGTGTGTGTGCAGCGGGCAGCGGCCGCAGCAGCTCCTTGATTCAATAGATGAGATGGAAGAAGAAAAAAAAGAACTCTCTCCATTTGGAGAAAGAAGAGGAGGAGGGGAGGGGGTGGAGGGGGAGAGAGCGAGCGAAAGAGAAAAAGGCTGGAGCTCCCGCCCCCGGGGCTGTCAGATGGCTTGGGTTTCTGCGACGCGATTGGCTCGCGGAGGGCAGAAATTACTCAGCAAACATGACTATTATTAGCTGCTTAGCAACAGCTCACCAAAGTAGAGAGACCACCCAGGTAGGCAACCCAGTGTGTGCATCCCCGGCTTCGGGGCAGCCTCAGAGAGCGCCAACCTTCTCGCATGCAATACTTCCATTAAGGAATGCTCCCCCTCCTTTCTCTCTTATTCCTTTTCTTTTCAACAGTGTCTTCTTTTTTGTGGGATGCCCTTTGCGCGCACACACGCGCGCGCACGCACACACACGAACATTTGCCTCGCGGTAGACACGGGGGGAAATGTAATATTTTTTTAAGCGCTTAAACAATTTCTGAAATTCCTCAAAGAAAAGCCTTTCAGAGGCACCTTGGCCTCAAGCTGCAGCAAATACTGGGAGGTCCGGCTCGCATTCCCAGGCCTGCACCAATAATGACAGCGTGCTGGATAGTGCGCCAGTGTGTGCCAGATTTTTTTCTCCTCCTCTCTTTTATTTTATAACTAAAGGGAAGACTTAGGCTCTTGCAGGGAACAACGCCTCGCATTAAGATAAACAGAATGGAAAGTTAAAGAGGAAAGCAAAGACGTTGGGAAAAGCCACCCTTTCTTCAAATCCGTCTGCCCTCCCCCCGCCGCTTTCTCCCCCAACTTAAAAAAAAAAAAACCGACAGTACAGTCTTGGTTTGAAGGAGTCAGTGTTCTATAAACGTGGAATCCAGACACCGAAGCAGTCTTGTAGAGGCAGAGGCGTTTTTATTTGAATCTCGAATGTGACATAAGTAAAAGAGAAACAACAGAATCCTTTTTTACAACTCAGAGAAACGTAATTGCTTCCTTGAGAGAGTAAAGTTTTCCTGATTATTTTGGGTTCATTTGTACCCCCCTTTTTATTAACCAGATGTTTATATAGTAAGTTTTTTACAAAACCCGGTATGCATGTTATATTTAATAATAGTATGACGTAGGAGATTATAAATGCCCCGATGTTGGATTCATTCAAAACAAACTGTGCGCGGATCGCGAGGGTTTGTCCCGACACCGCGTCCAGTGTCACCAAGACATCCCGGGGATTCGCTTCCCGCGGAGGAGGAAAACACGCGACCCTTTGAGGTGGATCCTGGAGTCAGGCACGTCTACACAACTAGGCTTTTTATTTTTAAAAAATTTTGTTTTCGGAAAGTGGAATGTGTTTTTCTTACGTTTGCAAGTTACTACGTTCCTCCCTGCGGTAGGAGCCCCCGCAAACCCTTCATTTGCTTCACTTTCTTTTTTTAAAAAAAACGGGGTTGAACTGCAGAAGCACTCGCAGTAGCAAGAAGCCTAGTGAAGTCGTGAAATGGGGCGGTGTGGCTTTAAGATGCACACGGTGTGTGTTCATTGAAAAAAAAAGAAGAAAGAAAGGAAAGGAAAGGAAAGAAAGAAACCCAGATGGAGGGAAAGGGGGAGGAGCAGGGAGAAGGCGGAGCTCCGGTGGCCACGTGACCCCGCGCCGGGAGGCCTTGTGTGCGCGCGCACGTGTGCCCGGGTGCGCGCGCGCGTGCCCGGCTCCGGGACTCCCCGCGCCCGCGCGGCCGGGGCAGAGCAGGTAGGGAGGCGGGTGCGCCGGGCGGGCTCCGGGCCTCCAGCGCGGCCTCCCGGGAGCCTAGGCAAGGCGCGCGCCCAGCCGGCGCGGACGGACGTGCCGGACGCGCCGTAGTACATTCCTGAAGGCGGCCCGGCCCCCTTACGCTGCCCAATGCCCGCGCCGCCTCCCCGCGGCCGGCCAATGGTCGCGCTCTCGAGTCCCTGCCCATTCGGCGGCACGGCGCTGGCGGCCCGGGCGCGCTGGGGGCTGCGGCGGGGCGCGCCGGCCACCGGGGCGGTCCATGCGGCTCCCGCAGGGGGCCCGTCCGCTGGCTCTCCCCGCCCCCTTCCTTCCTCCCCGGCGGATTCCCCTCCCCGCTTCCTTCCCTCGGCCTGCGCCTTCTCCTTCCTCCCTCGCCCCGCTCCCTCCCCCACCAGCCCGGCCACCTTCCCTCCAGCCTCTCCTCGGCTTCAGGGGGAGGCCCTGCCCCCGACCCCCTAACCCGCAAACCGAGTGCGGTACCGGGGGCAGGGCGGGAGGTCCCGAGGAAGAGAGGGAGACGGGGTGGAGGTGTTTGGGGGCGTTCGCGGGATCCGGAGGGGGACCTGAGCACCGGGCCAGCGCGGAAATTCAAAACTCAGACCGCTTAAGGAGCACGTGATTTTGTGAGTGGCTCAGGGAAGGGCTGCGGAAGCTCGGAAGGCAGGCGGGCGGCGTGCGACGAAAGTGACACTGCGTTGATAAAGAGCGCAGACGGCTCCACACATTTCCAGTTTCATCTTTTGAGTACGATCCTGATGTTTATTAGGTTTGATAAATAGCACAAAACAGGAAAAGAGGTTTACTAGTCTAGCTTTTCTTACTGAACGGTTATGCAGACACTTCAAGTCGAACCACTGTGTGCTTGCTTCTGGAAATTGCTTTTTAAAAACTGGGGGAGGGGGGTAGTACCCCTAGTTTTGCATGTCAGCCTTTTTATATTTCAAGCTTGCTGGAGAGCAAGGAATCATGTAGCCATAGACTCCTTGCTATGTTTGTCTTTTCAAACTTTTCCACCACGTTTTGGCCCAAAACTATTAGTGTTTCGTCTCAATCTTTTACTAGAGGGATTTCGGTATAGCTGCTTGGATGAAGGAATTCTGGAAGGAAATGGTAAGCAGTGTGCCCCTAATGGAGACGCATCACTCTCCGCGCGCGGCTGCATGTCCTCTGGTTCCGCGGCTGCCACATGCAGGTCATTTCAGTGGCAAAGCCTCTTCCACTCAGGCTATAAAAAGCAATTTCCAGAAGCAAGCACACAGTGGTTCGACTTGACTTAATTCCTAAACGTTTTGAACATTGATCCCCGGAGCTTTCAGTGCCCCGAGCCCACTCACCCGCTGTTTGATGGGTTAACTTTTCAGCATCTCAGACAATGGTCCCGGCCTGTAAATTCTCGCCGTGGGTTCCAGGACGCACTCTAGAGCCTCGGCTCTAACGAGCGCTATCTTAATCTCCCCACCCCCCACCCGCCGCTTCCCCTGTGGTCTGCTTTTTTCATACTCAGAGATGAATTACTTTGAGGATCTAATTGGCCTTGTTTCTGTAACGTTTTAAGAAAGGGAAGAGGAGCCAGTGTAAAAGCCTGCTCGACTTGGGTGGTCAGGGCTGAGGCTGCCCCCAATTTGCCTCATTGCTGATGCATGCGAGTGCGACATTCCCAGCGATAATGTTGTTCCTAATCAATCTGCCCTTATTTACATTTGTAAGCATTGTTGGCTTTAATATGCATGCCCTGTGCAGGGGACTGCTGTGCCACACCGGGTTTGTTAACTTCAACTAACCACAAGGATTCCACAGACCTGAGATGAGGCTGACTAGGGCAGCCAGACCTGCTAAGGTGTCCTCCGGGAAGACAGTCCCTTTAAATGGCCCTTCTGCCTCGTGGCACCCCTTGTGACAGTTACCAAATAAGTGAGAACTTAGGGCCTTATCAGCCAGCAGGAGTTGCCAGCCTCTGTGAAGCAAGAGCTGAGTGTTCCATTTCCCCTTTCCAGGTAAAGTTCATCTCAATGCATAAATTGTCATTTTGGTCTCCCGGTCATGATCCAAGACTTTTCATTGCAGTGTGTAGTTTTCAAAGCCTTAAGATGCCTTAAGCTCTCTGGATTCCCTCACATCTCCCCACTTCTCTGTTCCAATACTACAAATATCCATGGCCACGCCACACACATTTCAAAAGTGACATCAGATTATCCAAATGATGACAATGAAATAAAACATCTGCCCTTTGTGTTGGGATGTTCCAATGGTAAGCAATTGTGGAAGGCAGACTTGGTGGAGTTATGAAAAACCACATTGAGATTTTAACTTTTCGCTGGTTTCTCAGATCAAACCAAATGAGTCTTTAAAATTCAATGTAATTTGGCTGACTTTTGCAGAGTATAAATGTATTCCAGTAATTTGACCCTGGGGCCATTTATAATTTTGCCTACTGAGTTTCATACTCTCTTCCAG